TAATTACAGACGTTTTGAGACCGTGGCATGCCTCATATTCAGTGTAATTTCAAAAACAGTTACTTATATAGCAGATTAATTTATTGAAGAGAATTTACCATTTATTGAAGAGAAATTTACCAATGTCTCGAAACGCCTGTAATTACCAAATAAAGTGTGTGTTTAAAAATCTGATTGTTGTATTGTTCATATTTAACATTCAATATTCGTTCCACTGATATCACAAAAATCTATAATATATATGTATATATATACATAATTAATTTTGATACAAAAATATGAATTATATTTCATTACAAAAATATAATTGTTTATATAATATGTTATAAATTAAAAAAAAAATTAAATAAGAACTACAAAACTACATTAATAAAAGAGATTTAGTCAGAGTTTATTACAAAAATATAAATATAAACGATTTGTTAGAAAAAGAACCTAAAATGGATTTTATAAAAATTTAATATATCTCTAATTATATTATCAAAGTTATGCAAAATAATTGGTTGTATTTAAGCAAATTATATAATTGGTTAGATAATTCAATTAATTTATAATATTGAAACAATTTATGATTATAATGATAAAAATTTTAATAAAGAAAATTTATAATAACAACTTATATTATAGAAACATTTCAGGCAAATTTATATAGTTTATAAAAATAAAGTATTTTAAAAGTTTAATATGTAAATTAACAAAATTTATTACGGATTGTATATACTACACTCTTTTTTGCACTATTGATTAAAAATAAGTTTATCTCATCTTCAGTGAAAATATTGTATAACAAATATGTAATCATAATTAAATATGATCACATATTCTTCAAACTCTATTTCTGATCTAATTTGAAAAAAATGTAATATTATTTTCTAATTAAGTCTCAAATGTTTGGAATATTAATATATTTAAAAAAAATAGTACAAAAAAGAATGTGGTGTTTCATATTTCAAGATAATTTGCTTTTTACTCATAATACTATTGTACACTATTTATCGTACTATATTACACATAAATCAGCAAGCAATATAATAGATTTTTCGTTATAACAATAATACCATATATTATTAATTAATAACTAATTAATATTTAACTATTCAATCTAAAATATATTTATCAAAAATTAAAAAAAATATACGCTGACGGAATTTGAAGCATTTGAACCATCTTTTTTAACTATTTCATCTATTAATTTGAGAGTAAAAAGTAGAAAGAAGCGCCTAAACTGATAGAGATACCAAAGCATTAATAAGAAAATTCAATTGATTTAATTAATTTTATAATTAAGGGGGGTATTATAGTGTAGAGCGATGAATTTTAGGTCATTTTTAAAGTGTCGTAAAAGAAAAATGAATGTTTTTACTATCCATTTTTTACCACTTTTTTATTAATATTATTAAAATACAAAACAAAAAATAAAAAAATAAAAAAGTTGGAAATTGTAAAACTGGCAGCTGATGAAAGTGAGTGATCTTAAAAATTGGCACCTCTGTCTTGACATGATTCAGCCCTCCTAGGGAATGCATAAAACAAAAGATTATTAATCTATAATGATGTCGCAATCGCCCGAACTAGCGATGAGTAAAAGGAATTTTTTTTTACAATTGGCGACTGTTTGACAAAAAGTGTTTTTTTACTGTTTTTTTTTCGTTTCACGAATTTTTTAAAAATAGTAAAAATTGGAATCTGGGGAAAATCCTAGTTCGGGCTATAGATAGGTCAATAAACAAGACTCTCTGAATATTTCAAGTAAATCGGTCAATTAAAACTAGGGAAATTGTGTCAACAGTACTGAAAAAGCTTGTTCTGAGAAAAACGCATTTAAAGTTTTGCGCCAAACCAGAATGGAGACCGAGTCAGTAAAATGCCTATATCTCCGAAAATAATTCAAATTTTCAAAAACCTTCTCGTACCCATATTCTTACATAGTGAACTTTAAAAAATAAAATAAAAAAATCGATTTTTTTGAATTTCTACACTAGAATACCCCTTTAACACTTCTTATAGGCCTATGATATTTCAAACTGTTCAGTTTAACTATCAACTCTATCACCATGCAAGGTTTCACGAAAATCCAGAAGAGTAAAACTGGAGGTTTCCCATGTTAGGCATAGTAACAACTTAGTTAGTATATGGCGTAACCATTTTATATTGTTCATCATCTAT